TATAAACTTCAGATTCAATTTACATGAGATGCATTACCGAAATCAGCCACAAATACATAGATCGATGAAGATCCATATAACTAACTATACAAATTGAGCGAAAAACTGAATAAATACAAAATAGATTGTGAAATACAAATTACATCAAAATCATATCTTCTCTAATATAATGATCGTAACATAAAATTAGGAAAAAAGAAAAAATGATTTTAAAAAAAAACATTCTAAAGAGTTCAAAAATAAAATTAAGGATTTAGAACAAAGTAAAATGAAAGCTGGCTAAGAAAATCAATTGATACTCTCCTTTCTATCTAATGAAATAGGTAGTAAAGATTTAAATAATATAAGACAATTATTAGCTGAACAGAAACTTACTGAACTATTAGCTGAATTAAATAACAGAAAACAAAATATTCAAAACTTAATTCTTAATTTGATAATGAATTATCAAACTTTAATTATAAATTAACATAATTGAAAGAAAATATTAAAGAGCGAGAAGTAGAAGTTAAAACCAAAAAAAGAAACAATTAATATTTTAGAAGAAAAGATTAAAGAGATAGAAAAGAAAGTTAAAGATAAGAAAAAAAAAGTTAGAAACTTGGAAGTAAGAATTAGTGAGCAAGAAGAAGAAGCCAAATTAAAGCAAGAAACTATTAATGTGTAAAAGAAAAGGTTATAGAGTGAAAAGAAGCAGTCAAGGCCAAGCAAGAAACTATTGATGAACTAGAAGAATTTGCCAAAGAGAGAATAGAGTAAGTTAAAGCCAAGCAAGAAACTATGAATGTTTTAGAATATAATATTAGAAAGCGAGAAGCAGAAGTCAAAGCCAAGCAAAAGACTATTTCTGACTTGAAAAAAAAGATTAAAGAGCAAGAAACAATAAACAAAGCATTAGGTATTAAATATGATGATATTACTAACTTATTATTAATTACTAAAGCAAATAAGGATTAAATATTGAAAACAGTAGGAGGATTACAAAGATATCGTAAATTAATAACTCTCAATTTTAATAAAACCCAATTAACTAGTTTACTGACTTTACCTAACTCCTTAATTGGGACTCTATTACCACTATACTAATTTAGATAATTTACCAACTTTACCAGACTCCTTAAAACACTTGAATGTTTCCTCAATCCTATAACTAATTTACTAACTTTACCTAACTGTTTAACGATTCTTAAGTGTTCAGATATTCATATCACTTTCTTGCCAACTTTACCGAACTCTTTGATACAACTTCATTGCTATAATACTCTAATTACTGGCTTACCAACATTGCCTAATTTCTTAAGAATTCTTGAATGTTTCCTTAATCCTTTAAATAGCTTACCTACTTTATCTAACTCTTTAAAAATTCTTAAATACTTTTATCACTAGCTTGCCAACTTTACCAAACTCTTTGATATAACTCTATTGTGATAATACACCAATTATAAGCTTACAAACTTTGCCTAATTCTTTAAAAGTCCTTTGTTATAATAACACTAATGTAACAAGATTACCAACTTTACCTAAGTCTTTAATTAAACTCAGTTGCTCTGGAATAATTAAATTACTAGCTTTACCTGAATCCTTAAAAGAACTCTATTATCACAGAAATTCAAGAATTAACTTATTTGATTTACCTGATTCCTAAACTTACCTTTACTATTCTGGTTCAATAAGAATTAGTTCAACAACTTTACCAAGCAATTTAAATGCATATTATTGTTCATTGTACTTTAGGTAGTAATTTCACTATCCATTTGTTTGACGGAAGTTTTAAGAACATTTATGACCAGCATAAAAACTTTACCTTATACCTTAAAAACTCTTGATTTAGAATAATTAGCTTACCAACTTTGCCAAAATACTTAAAAGAACTTTATTGTTCTAATACTAGAATAATTAGCTTACCAACCTTATCTAATGTCTTAGAAGACTTTAATTATACTAATACTCAAATAACTACCTTACCAACTTTGCCTAATACTTTAACGTATCTCAATTGTTCATATACACTTATAACCAGTTTATCAATCTTACCCAATACTTTAAAGATACTCTATTGCAATAGTACTCAAATAATTATCTTACCGATTTTACCTGATACTTTAACTTATCTTAATTGTTCAAAATCTCTAATCACTGACTTATCATCTTTACCAAATACTTTGAAAGAACTTTATTGCAATAATACTCTAATTACTAGCTTACCAACTCTACCTGATTCCTTAATCCATCTCAACTATTATTATAATAAATTAATTATATTACCAACTTTACCTAACCTTTTAATTAAGATTAATTGTAATAATACTAAAATAATAAATTGCCAAATTTATCTAACTCCCTTATATATATTTCACCAGAATTTTTAAAGAATTCTGTTCCTGTTTCATTATTTACTTTTGTAGCTAAATTTCTCATTAATTAAATATATTAAAAAATATTATAAGGATATCTAGGAATTATAATTTATCAATTTCCAAGGATGTTGTATCATTCTCCTAATTGTACTTTAAAATTAAAAACAAAATTTTCACCTTTTTAATAAATGTATGGATAAAATGATTTAGATAATTTCATAAAGTTACATAATTACATTAAATTCTCTGGAAAAATTGCATGCAATAAAGAGGAAGCGGGATACATGAGAACGAAGGGTCATGCTATAATCTAAGTTTTGGAAGATGTTACAATGATGCAAATGTTATTTTCTAATTACTTATAAGAAATAGATACTTAAAGTTGTCAACGCGGTATCTGCTACGCCTTTGTATTATTTTTAACATAAATTATGAGTTCTTTTGTTTCAGAAATTATTAATCACGAAATTTTTATAATGCAAATGTCACGTTATTGTTCTTTACATAAAAATAATTTTATTATTTGATTTCACTTCCAAATTCTTCAATTAGAAAATAATTAAAATTAATAAATATGTCGTCACATGATTTTATCTTAAAATTAAAAAGCATTCTCCTAAATATTATGTAAATCAACCTCCTTCAGATTATTGGGTTTTCGAAATTATTAAAATTGGCAATTATACGTGATGATTGACAAAAACAAGATCTTGTAAATTAATTTCAGTAATTTTTGTATCACGTTCATTATATTTGTCAAATTGCCTAAGAAAAAAGTACCCTACTCAAGAATATAACAAATTAGCACTTGTTTTTTGAGGCAAATATGTTTATATTATAATAAACTATTATCTTTTAAATACTATTAATGTGATTTGAGAAATAAATAAGAAATACAATAAAAGGAAAAAGTTACTTTACAGTGTATGATTTAAATACAAAACACCAGATTTATAATGAGTTACAATTGTCAGAATTAAGTGAAGCTAATAGAATTTATTTATATAGAATGGATTTTTCTCAAAAATTTAGATATAGTTTATGTCAACTAAAAAAAGATCAAACAACAAAGACCATTCCAGTAAATCTACATAAAACTTATAAATTATACCAAGCATTAAGGCTAGATCTAATTCTTCAACTAAAAACCATGATGATGATGAAGTAGATGAAGTAGAAGAAATTAATAAATTAGAATTTGAGAAAAGTCTGATAAATAATGAAGAGGAGAATAAAATTTTGGGTATTGAAATAGAAGATGATATAGAATTAGATGTTGAAGATGAAATAGATAATTCTGAAATTGAAGAATTTGAAGATGAATACATGGAAATTTCATTTAAATTAATAATTAGGAGAGAGGGTAAAAACAGTGCAGGAAAATGTGAAACTATTTATCAAACAAAGGAGTACTCAGGCTGCATTAATTGTAAGATTTCATTTCACTTAACATTTCGTGATGATGTTCGCATAACGTTCGTGATATATTCGTGTAATGTTAATTCACGCAACATTTCATGATTATCAATAATTATTTTATTATTTTTTATTTTATTTTTAGGAACATATTCTTTGTTAATCCTCCTAATAATTTCTCTAATAATCTCATCTAAATGGTAATCAAAATGCTTTTTATTATTTCACTTAAAATCTAAAAAAAAATGAAATTATGTTTTAATAAATATCATATACAACATAATATATAATAATTAATAAATTAAAAAATATTAACTTCATATTAGATCAATTAAAATCTTTCTTCTACAAGCCTGTCTTTCAATGGGTTTATAATACATCTCCACTTTGAAAAAATTTCATTACTCTTGTAACAGTAGGAGCGCTAATTTTTAATAAATCAAATATTTTTTTTTAAAGAAAACCTATCATAGTACAAATATATTACACTCCACCTCAAATGTGCACTTATATGTTATTTTTCATGAGTTAAAGAACAATTTTAACTATGGTAACTCAACTGTGATTCCTATTTTTCTTCCATGTATTTTTTTGTGATTCCTTGAAAAAAGTTGTGATTTTAAAGTTTTAAGTTGAATATATATTGGTTTTTTTAATAAAACTTCTTGTAATTAACATATATTATATATAAAGTATATATTTATTTAAATATAAAAAAAATTCGTAGTAGCTTATTTAAAAATTAAAGTTTTTATTATGTAAAACTTAAATCGATCGCTGTTACATGATCAACATCAATTTCAATAATTTCGAAAAACACCCCAGATAAATAACATTAAGAAACTCTACTATTTTCTGCTTGTTATTTAATGTTGCGATAATATTATATCAAAGAAATATAAATGATATTATGGATTCAAGACAAAGTCGTATTGCTGAAGATTTGAGAAGTATTATACGTCATTTGAAAATATTTCTTTAAACCGTTCCTCAAAATAAATAATTTTAAATCCTACAAAGCATCAATTGTTGCTGAATTTTATTTATTTATTATAACGATTCATCTAGTATTCTCCACCAGACATGACATGCATTGTCTAGTTTTCCTTCTAAAATACTTTGTTGTCTCTAACGATTAATAACTTAGAATAATCTGATCTCATAAATATTTACCTGAAGATTAGTTGTTAAAGTGTCTTTTTCTTTCTTTATCTAGATAACAGAAAAGAAAACGATTTAATTGTGAATTCAAATTTATTTCCAAAGATTAATTTATTAATATATTTATATCAAATTAATTAATGTAATTTATTTTCAAATTAAAACTATAGAAAGTTTAACCAATTACTTACTTAAAAGTCCAAATTTAGTTAATTTGCGATTGCGAATAGATAAAATTTCAGGCTCTTAATTCATCATTTTACAGTGCGCAAAATATTAGTCATTAGAAATATAAACAAATGTAAATCAAAAAATTTACTAGTTTACCAACTAAATGTCTTAACATGATATTAATTATCATATTCAATGTCACACCTAAATTTTTTATATTATTACTATACTTTTAGGGACATTTTTTTCGGTGAAAACAAATTAATACACTTTTTATTTGAAATTTATTTTTAACTAGGAGATAATCAATAACTCTACATTATTATTTAATGCTATTGTAATTGAATCAACCTAAAGAGGTACAAAAAGAACGCAAAATCGGAAAAAGACATCATTCAGTCGCTGCTAGAATTTAAAAAAAAACAGATGCGATCCATCCAAAAGAAATTACCTAAATGAAAGAGATAATCATATAATCAAAAAAAACCCTGCCTATATGGCTTGAGGTGAAACAAAAAGAATTAGTGAATAAAAATAATTTAATTGAAAATAATGAAATCAAAATAAAATAATGTTCTTACAAAGCTGGATGGACCCGTCATGAATCAAAAATGATTCTAAAAAAGATAAAAGAATCAATGAAAAATTCTATACATCACAAATTAACTATTGCTTGCCCGAATTTATAAAAAAAATACGAAAAAAAAAAATATGCTTACCTCGTGCCAACGAGAAAAAATTGTAAGAAAGGATGCAAGATTTTTGGAAATATAAGTGACTTTATCCAAGTGTCACTTGTAAAAAATTGTCATTTCTTACAGATCTGATATTTTGAATTTGTCTCCTGGCCAATATGTTATCTGGCCAAATTAACTAACTGAATTTCAAATATAAAATAGGTGGGATTTCACTGGCATGTCCCTAGATTAGAATAGCATTTCATTTTAATATTTACCCTTCACAATTATTAACAACCACCTTACCAACTTTCATTTGAACTAGTGAATTTTATTTTCATGAAAAACAGAATCATGTCAATACAATGATTTCATCATATGGACTACCTTCAATTTTTTTTACATTGACGATGGTTGAAAGTAATTGGAAACACTTACATAAAATTTTAAAATCAACAGATAACCACCATACAATTCCTACAAACAGACCAATACATACTACATTACATTTTTTACATCACTTTCAACAACTCAAAAAGCATGTTTTAAAAATTCCTATCATTCAAATTAGGATAATGTAACTCAATTTTTTGAAAGAGTAGAATTTCAAAATCGTGGTGGTGTATATACACATAGCATATATTGGGTAACAAAATCAATTGAACAAATAATTGATGAAAATATCATAAGATTTGACTTACTGGATCAAATTTTGGAACCAGAATTATATGCAAAAGTAAAAGCAAATCAAATACACACTTGTAATTCAAAATGTGAAGGTTCCGCTGCTTTAGGACATACTTGCAAAAAAGGATTTTCCCGTCCTTTTTCATCATGTACTCATTTTAATAATGAAACCCAAACTTATATTTATAAATATCTTAAACCAGAAAATCAATAGGTAATTTCTTATCATCCTCAAATTTTATTGATTTGGGATGCACATATGAATATTCAATATGTAAGCTCTCGAAAATTAGCTTTT